CATCATTCCTGATTCAGCCTATTATGAAAGATACATATTTGCAATGACAATTAGAGATCATAGTTTCTTGTGCCATGCTTAATTAGCTAGGAGCTTATAATGGTTTACCTTGCATGCCAACATGCTATTAAAATGGTTGTGTTGTGGTATGATAGGGTGGTATCCTCCTCTGAATGATTTAAGTGACTTGACTTGGCACATGTTCACGCATGTAGTTGAACAAAATCAACATAGCCTTCACGATATTTATGTTCATGGTGGATTATATCCTACTCATGCTTGCATGTTCATGACTGTTGTCGCTCTCTAGCTGGTCATTTCCCAGTCTTTTGCTAGCCTTCACCTGTACTAAGCGGGAATACTGCTTGTGCATCCAATCCCATGAACCCCAAAGTTATTCCATATGAGTCCACTATACCTTCCTATATACGGCATCTACCTGCCGTTCTAAGTAAATTTGTATGTGCTAAACTCTAAACCTTCAAATAAATATCCTGTTTTGTATGCTCGAATAGCTCATGTATCAACTAGGGTTGTACGTATCTTCCATGTTAGCGGGTTATTCTCAAGAGGAGTGGACTCCGCTCCTCACTCACGAGAAAGTGGCTGGTCACCGGGATGCCCAGTCCCATGCTTTATGCAAACTAAATCAAAATAATTGCAAACAAAACTCCCCCTGGGACTCTTATTAGTTGGAGGCACTCGTTGTTTCGAGCAAGCCATGGATTGATGCTTGTTGGTGGAGGGGGAGTATAAACGTTAGCATTCTGTTTGGGAACCGCCTATAATGTGTGTAGCATGGAAGATATCGCCATCTCTTGGTTGTTATGTTGACAATGAAAGTATACCGCTTAAAATATTATTCATCTCTATTTCAAAACCGAGCTCTGGCACCTCTACAAATCCATGCTTCCCTCTGCGAAGGGCCTATCTATTTACTTTCATGTTGAGTCATCATCCTCTTATTAAAAAGCACCAGTTGGAGAGCACCTCTGTCATTTGCATCCATTACTATTAGTTTACATTGAGTATGACTGTGACTGGATCTCTTTTACCATGAATTACAATGTCTAGAAAGTCCTTGATCCTTAAAGGTGCTCTACATTTATGTTTTGCGGTCTCAGAAAGGGCTAGCGAGATACCATCTTATTATATCATATCATGATTGCTTTGAGGAAGTGTTGTCATCCGAGATTTGTTATTATTGCTCGCTAGTTGATTATGCCATTGATATGAGTAAACATGAGACCTAAATGTTATTGTGAATATAGTTAGTTCATAATCTTTGCTGAAAACTTGAATGCTGGCTTTACATATTTACAACAACAAGAGCAAACAGAGTTTGTAAAAGTTTTTCTTTATCACTTTCTGTTTATCAACTGAATTGCTTGAGAACAAGCAAAGGTTTAAGCTTGGAGGAGTTGATACGTCTCCGTCGTATCTACTTTTCCAAACACTTTTGCCCTTATTTTGGACTCTAACTTGCATGATTTGAATGGAACTAACCGGGACTAACGTTGTTTTCAGCAGAATTGCCATGGTGTTATTTTTGTGCAGAAATAAAAGTTCTTGGAATGACCTGAAAATCAACGGAGATTATTTTTGGAATATATAAAAAAACTGGAAGAAGAATCCACGTTAGGGGGCCCACACCCTGTCCACGAGGGTGGGGGCGCGCCCCCTGCCTCGTGGGCCCCCCTGACGCTCCACCGACCTCAACTCCAACTCCATATATTCGTGTTCGGGAAGAAAACAATCAGAGAGAAAGATTCATCGCGTTTTACGATACGGAGCCGCCGCCAAGCCCTAAACTCTCTCGGGAGGGCTGATCTGGAGTCCGTTCGGGGCTCCGGAGAGGCGAATCTGTCGCCATTGTCATCATCAACCTTCCTCCATCACCAATTCCATGATGCTCACCGCCGTGCGTGAGTAATTCCATCGTAGGCTTGCTGGACGATGATGGGTTGGATGAGAATTATCATGTAATTGAGTTAGTTTTGTTAGGGTTTGATCCCTAGTATCCACTATGTTCTAAGATTGATGTTGCTATGACTTTGCTATGATTAATGCTTGTCACTAGGGCCCGAGTGCCATGATTTCATATCTGAACCTGTTATGTTTTTATGAATATATGTGAGTTCTTGATCCTATCTTGCAAGTTTATAGTCACCTATTATGTGTTATGATCCGGCAACCCCGAAGTGACAATAATCGGGACCACTCCCGGTGATGACCGTAGTTTGAGGAGTTCATGTATTCATTATGTGTTAATGCTTTGGTCCGGTACCCTATTAAAAGGAGGCCTTAATATCCCTTAGTTTCCAATAGGACCCCGCTGCCACGGGAGGGTAGGACAAAAGATGTCATGCAAGTTCTTTTTCATAAGCACGTATGACTATATTTGGAATAAATGCCTACATTACATTGATGAATTGGAGCTAGTTCTGTGTCACCCTATGCTATAACTGTTGCATGAATAATCGCATCTGACATAATTCTCCATCATCGATCCATTGCCTACGAGCTTTTCATATATTGTTCTTCGCTTATTTACTTTTCCGTTGCTATTGTTACAATCACTACAAAACCCAAAAATATTACTTTTGCTATCGTTACCACTACTATCATATTACTTTGCTACTAAACACTTTGCTGCAGATATTAAGTTTCCAGGTGTGGTTGAATTGACAACTCAGCTGCTAATACTTGAGAATATTGTTTGGCTCCCCTTGTGTCGAATCAATAAATTTGAGTTGAATACTCTATCCTCGAAAACTGTTGCGATCCCATATACTTGTGGGTTATCAGACCTCCACACAGATCCTGGTGATGAGCTTTTGGATCGAATCGCCCCTCAGTGGGCGACGCATCGTCCACGCCATGCGCTCCCGATGCCTCGCCTCCATCTCCTCTTCCCCTTCGAGATCTCGGAGTGGCTTCTTGCGCTCCATTAGGCTGGGGTGGGCTCGGGCGGGGCCGCTCTCCTTCGATGCGGGGCAGTAGGGGTGGTGGCGACGACGGCGAGCGGCGTGGCAGGCGGTAGGCGGAGGGGATAAGGCAGGTCGCAGGAGCGCACATGCTAACCCCCAGCACTCGACTATAGATTGCTAGTGAGCTCACACCAAACTCTCCTTCAACGGTCGCCATGTTAGTTACTCCTTTCCTTTTAGCATGCAGATCTATCTGCAGTAAATAAGTGGCATCAAGCAACAAATATGATGGCAGGTGGTTTACTACTGTAGTAGGAAAGTAATATAAGTGACCAAAGAGAATGGTTTTCAGCAAAGGAGTTTGCTTAACAAAAGTATACATCAAAGTGACAAATTCAAACTTCCTATGGCTACGTTACATGCATGCCTCAAGCATTACTCTTGAACTGAAACAACATGTGGTACACATATATACATAAGGCAAAAGTTATGCTTAATACAAAAAAGAAAAGTTCTGTAGCACTGCCTTAAGGCACCGAAGCGCAGTCCGTGTATGTGTGAACTTACAGATGCTAGTGTAAGGAGAAAGTACCACCAAAACACAACCAATTGCCAAAAAAAGGCAATGAGGTGCCGCTACCGGAATAACTGGCTATCAAAATCTGTGTCGTTGAAGGCCTGAATTTTCATTAAAGGCCAAAAAAAATGCACGGATATGAGCTTGATCCAACAAGTACTGGCAGTTTTACATGTTGGGGAGGACGGTAGAGAGTGGGGGAGGCCCTAAACAGCTAGCAGAGCGGAAGTAAATCAGCTTGGGGCAAAACACAAGAGCCAGAGGTGAGCAGGTTGATGGCTTTGTTAATTCAAAGTCGGGCTCTGCGCGAGCCTTCGTTCTAAAAAAAAAACACAAGAGCCAGAGGTGAGCATCGCCCCGCGCCTCCCTGGAAGCCCGACCCGCCAGGTGTTGGCATCGTGCATCCTCGCCAACGACGACATCATTACGATGCTTCCAGAGGTTCGAGACGCACAGCATCATGAAGCAGGAGGCAGACTGTGGGAGCTTGGACGTTGTGGAGTTCATCGACTTTGGTATTACGGGAGTAGACAGCGTCCACCCACCGCAAAAAACAGTGAAGATGCCCATGAGATGAGAAGAATGTTGATTTTAGGTTGGTTCCCGAACTTCAGCACAAGGAAGACTGCATTATGGTTAGGCTCAACCTAAATGCTAAGCCCATATGTTATTGCAACCCACGTCATCAACATTAGTCGAATGGTGTGCTCATCTTGCTAGAAATGGAATGGGGAGCATACACTAATCACTGGACACGTTGTTTACCCGCTAAAAATGAAAATTATACACATATCCCCTTCTCTTGATTTTAATTACACTTACTCCACTAATCAATCAATGAACCAAATCATGTAACATCAGATAATTGATTATTGTTTATTTTTTTCCCTTTCCTTTCCTTTGTCGAAATGCCAACCTTGCTTCTTTGAGATAAGTCCAAATTATAATCCCCTCTGGCACCGGCATGTGTCCTATATTTCTCATCTCAAATCATATCATTAGATTCACATCCAGATAGGCCTCTACTTATGCTTGCAGATTCATCAGATAAAAATCATACATTAATCTCAACAAATACATTAATCATCCAGATAGTCAACCAAACGAACGATTAGTAGGTAATTGATTAGTAGGTAATTGATGGTTGCGATCGATCCGAGGAAGAACAAGTCGATAAATTACATTGGAGAAAAAACTCCTCGTCGTCTTGTCAACGCACACATACATACTACTCCATACACATGATGATGATCTGCCCTGCAAATAAATCTAAAATTCTACTAGTACTTTTTATCTTCATTACAGACAGATACTACTTTTTATTCAATGATGAATAATCAAATAAGAATACTGCCATCATACAAAAGAAATCAAAACAAAACAAATCAAATGGATGCACACAACACACCATTCTATATGTTCCTTTCACTCAACAAATGCAACAAATTCCGATCTGCTCCAGACCATACTGAATCTCCTTCCCATGAAGCATGTCACACGAGCGACGAGTCCCCTTCCGCGGTGCCACCTTCCACGGCCGCCTGCCGCACCTTGGGAGGCCCGGAGTGCCGCCTCGTCGCCGCCGGCGGCGTCCCAGCCGGAAAGGACAGCCGCTTCTTCGCTGAACCCACAGAAGACCATCCTTTCTCCAGCGTCTCAGCTTGAGCAGCACCCTCGGTCAGCATCGGGCTCTGCACACGCGACTTGGCCCTGGCCGACGCCGACTTGGTGGCCGCCATGTAGCTCGGCACCGACGACAGGGAAGAGCCCGACAGGCTCGCGTCATCACGCACGCTGGACGCGCCCATGCTGTGCCTCCGGGGCCGCTCGGACCGGACAGTGCTGACCACGCTCCTCGCGTCGTCGCCGTCGCCGTCACCGTCTCCGCTCTTGGGCGTCGCGCTCTTCTTCCTCGCCAGCACCGGCGAGGGCGTCGACGGGGACTGCCTGGGGGCAGGGCCGGACGGCTTCGGAGTCGAAAGCGGCATGGGCTTATCATCGTTCGGCTTCAAAGAGTCCACCACCTGGTTGTCGGCCTTTGTGACCGTCTCCACTTGGCCGAGGTTCATGCTCAGGCTGGTGCTGTTCACCGACGTGCGGTCGACGCTGCTGCCATCCTTCTCGGCCGTCCCATTCCGGCCGTCGAACGGCCTCGACGCCATCCACCGCTCCAGCCAGCTCCAGCCCCAGTGCGGGTTGCTCGGGTCCACAAACATCGGGTTAGCACACCTTGAGGTGCTCTTCCACTGTCAAGAAGAAGAAAAAACAGGAATGCATGTCCAAAATGCTGTCTGTCTAAGACTCTTGATGAAAACCTAGCATGGACTGCTGTGAACTGAATATGATGCAACCAAACTGACCTGATGGGAAAACGCGTATGCGAGGGCCCGTTCTCTTCTAGCTGCGGCCTCTTGCCTGCTCACGAGGCTGGCCTCGATCTGCTCCTTGGACTGCAGGCTGGTATTCCACTGATCTCCCATCTTATTATATATAATAACAGGGAAGAGTTTGTTACATGTCTTTTCATATGGTTGTGCTTTTATCATGCTTATTACAGAAGTAAATGTCAAAAAATAGCCCTAACTGAATAATAAACACACTAAAGTGCTAAAATCTCAGACCCCTTAACTGTATAGATATGTTCTGAATTTCACAAGGATTTCATCTTGAACTGCAGAGAGGTACATTACTCTTTCAATTCTCTGCAAATGCTAACTGCTTTTTCATTCTTATAACCATTTATTTAAACCAAAGTCGTCTTGTGTAAAGAGCAGCAAATAAGCATACTGAATCAAATCAAAAGCAGACAAATCCTGACTAGTAATTCAAACCCTGCAGTATGACAGTGATTGACTTCGGACTTCAGATAGGAAACACCCAAGTACAAACCACCATGCCAGAACTTAAAACAGAGGCTAAAGAGCAAGGACTACAGCAACATGACAGATGATCCCTCTGTATTCTAGCTCCCAGCAGTAATCAGCAGCAGAGCTCGCTGTATTTACCATAGTGGGTTAAGTTCAGGCCCAATCAACGCTAGTGCTCTAGTATTCTGCATACTTCTGGTCCAGCAACACTAACAATATCTGATCCGGTTATACATATTGTACTGGGATCACACCTAGGAATTCAGTAAAATAGTATGGAGGTTCAAAAAGGTTTTACTGTAAACGCATATTTCTGGTCAACAGCACTAACCATTTCAGATCAGATTCTAGAAATACCACTAGGAATTAAGTAAACGGTATAGAGGTTCAAAATGTTTTAGTATCAAGAGTCTTATTAGCAGACAAATCCTGACTCTGCAATAATATGACAATGGTTATTCAGGCTTCAGATAGGCGACACCGGACTACTAAAACTGAGGCTAAACAGTCGCAGCAAATCCAGTAACGTATAACACACAATCCCTCTGTATTACAGCTCCCATTCACAACCATCAATAGAACTCTCAGTATTTACCACGGTGTGTTAAGTTGAGGTCCAATCAACGGTACTGCTCTAGTATTCTGCATATTTCTGCTTCAACAGCAGTAAGGATACCAGATCAGGCTCTACATATGGTACTGGAATTACCACTGGCTAGGAAGTCAGTAAAACGGTATGGAGGTTCAAAATGTTTTACTATAAAGAATATTACTACTATTGATTAATGATGATGTTTGCTGCATACCCTGAGAGTCTCTAGTTCCTGGTTCAACAAGAGCTGGCGCTGAAGGGCCTGGTTCTCCTCGGCCATCTTGATCCTCCTTGTCCGTATCTTGGACTGGACCCGGGATAGAGTCTGCATGCAGCGAAGCGTGCTGGTGGCCTGGCGCTTGACGGAGTGGCCTTGGACCAGAGACTTGAGCCTGACAAGGCCTTTCAATGCCCGCAGCGCCCTTCTTGCCTGGGAATGGATAGCAGCAATTCAGTCGGTACACTCATAGTATCAGTAAAAAGATGCTAGTGTGTAACAAAAAAAAAAGGTTCAGTTAAAGCTCCATTAGGACTGCAGGAAGTGTCAAGTTAGATTTTCCTGCTTAGGCGATCTGCCTCACACAACAAAGGCTTACACTTAGCATAGATTATTTAGGGAATTAAAAAAACTAACTTGCAGGTTCAAGACTAGTTTTTAATTAATCATCGATGATATAAAATTGAGAGTTCATTTGGCATTTGATGGTCTTGATGTAACAGGAATCCTATGTCTATGAAGAATGCTGGTTTCAGTAATTAACAGCCTGGATAGATAGATAGATAGATAGATAGATAGATATGCATACATGGGGGAAACCAGTATCAGTAATTCTTTGCTCGGCACACTTAAAATATGTGTAAGAAAATTCTGCTGGTGCGTAACAGAAAATATTCAGTTAAAGCTCCATTAGGGGGGGTACATCAAGTGTCATATTCGATTTCCCTGCTTAGGCAGTGGCAGACAATTTGCCTCACACCACACAGCAAAGGCAGTGGCAGTTGGAGCCAAAAAAACAGAGAGTTAAGAAAGAAAAAATCAGTGCAATTAATGAACTAATTCTAGCATGCATGGTTGATGAGCAAACCGTCCAAGTAAGCAAACGCATCGGAATGAAAATGGGGTCTATTTATAGGTCAAAACTTGCAAGTGCATCAGCCGATGCCAATTTTACAAAACAACCTGGCAAGTTGAGGACTGGCTTTTGATCATCAAGGATGATATAAAATTTGCAGTGACAGTTGAGTTGGTATTTGATGGCCTTGATGTTAAAGGAAGGGATTCTATGTCAAGAAAGAAAGCAGAATGTATGTATTTGATGGCCTTGGGGGTGGGGGGTATTACCAGGTGACCTCGGAAGGCGGTCTGGATCTTGGTGGCGGCGAGCTCCCTGGACAGGATGGGAGAGGAACAAGGAGCCGGCACAATGGCGGCCTGTGCCTGTGGTGGTGGTGGTGGTGGTGCGGCGGCAGCAGGGGCAGGGGCAGGGAGCGGCGCATCCGTGGCTGGCGCTGGCGCTGGCGCTGGCGCGGCGGCGACATGCTCAATTTCATGCTCCTCCTCTTGGGTTAGAGTTTGAGTTAGAGTTTGAGTTAGAGTTTGAGCGACGGGGAGCGGGGCCGGAGCAGGAAGTGAGGCCTCCGGGAAGTCGTCGGGGTAGCGGGGGAGGGCGGAGCCTGAGGAGGAGGCGCGGGCCTGGAGGTAGGAGGCGGAGGGCGTCAGATCCCGCGGGTAGGCCGCGCTGCTGCTGCCGGCGGCGGCCAATCTCCTCTGCAGTTTCTGCTAGATCGAACAGCAGTAGGAATTGGGTCAGGATTCAGTCTATGTGTGTGTGTGTGATTTGCAAATTACTGCTGACTGACGTACCTGGTCCTTGGATTCGGGGCTGAAAGCCTTCTTGACGGCGCCCAGCCACTTGGGCTTCTTCCCCATCAATCAATCTTCCTTCCAAGATAAGATGAAGATGATTGCTTTGCTTCCACTCGAGTCCAGTCCAGCGGAGAGCAAGAAGAGGAGAAGGAATGGGGAGATCCGGTGAGGTGAGGCAACCACCGGATCTGTGTCGATCTGATTGTTTGTTTGTTTGCTTGCTGCACCGTGACGGGAACAACAAGAGAGCTGAGCTGCAAGGTGGAAGAAGACTCGGTCACTCTCACTCACAGCCACACCAGAGAGCAGACCAGCTTCCACCAACCCAGGTACCGTGTGTGTAATCATTTTGGATATTGGATATGGGGCGGAGGTCACTGGTCTGTAATCATTTTGTAGTTTTGGAGGTGTTCAGCATCATATTACACACTTCTGACTTAAAAGTTTAACCGTCTCAAGTTTGGGTAGGGGTGGTCAACCTCCCCTCTAATATGTTGGGCTTAATTTCCATGGCCTGCATAAATTGATGATATGGTTGGTAATGTGATACATCTGGACGCAGATGCTCGTGAATATGCACGGGGGTTCTTGTTTGAGGACCCACATATCGATCAATGTTAAAGAGCCATTTATGTGATGGTGTCAAGACCTCATTCTTAACTACTGCCATCAAAGTCGAGAGAAGAATGGACAGGCAACAAAGGCAAAGGAAGTCCCAGATGGGCAGTGAAGCCCAGTTGCGCAACAAAGTCAAGCCCAGACCGTGACCACTATATAGCGGTATAGTATCGTAGTGTGTGAGAGGAGGGACATCGAATGACCTGTCACAACACGCAGTCTCTTCTATTCCCCTTTCACCTCCTTCTATCTTCTTCTCTAAGATGTTGCGCCAGCCTTTCCACTCTAGTTTCAGCGAGACACAATCATGGGGAAGACAAAAGCTTGTGACCAATGATGAGATCAACGTGGCGGGGGCACAATCGTGGGCTCTGATTGACAAGGTTCTACGTCGCAAGGTTTTCCATGTGGGTACGGTACTCCGATCCACGTCCTGGCTTCTCATTCGCCAACGAAACCACGCGTCAGCTCTTGGTTGGAACAAGTGTTGCCCATCCAATGGACGACATGCACCTATGTCGTATAGACACGTGACGTGATCTAAACAATGGACTGCTTAGTTAAAAAGGTTGGTCAATCAAAGGCCTGCTTAAGGCCCACTTGACTTAGTCCAACTTCAGAGGACTGGACCATGATAGGCCTGCTAAATGCATACTTGCATATCGCCCATTTACAACCCAGATCCACACAGCCCGTTAGAACCTGTGTGGATTCGTGTGTTTTGATGGAGAGCTATCAGGGACTTGCTGTCAAGTTTTGGAGAGTTGCATTGGATGCACATCAGGCAGGCTGCCATTTCTCCCATGTGTGGACTTGAAAAAGAGTCTCTTTATCATCGCTTATTGACATACGATCAGGCCAAGCTCTTTTGGGAGGAAACACAAGTTCTGTTCGAGCTTAATATCCCAAGGCTGCACCTTAATACTTGGACAGTCTTTTGGGAGGAAACACAAGTTCTGTTCGAGCTTAATATCCCAAGGCTGCACCTTAATACTTGGACAGTCTTTTGGGAGGAAACACAAGTTCTGTTCGAGCTTAATATCCCAAGGCTGCACCTTAATACTTGGACGGTATATATTTTGGACCCATGCTTGGTGCCAAAAGGAGGAAGGGCAATTATGGTAACTTTTATGTAGGCATTTTGCCACTTGAGAAATAATTGCACTCATGGAGAGTTCGGTACCAGCGGCAACAACCTATGATCATTATGTATGGTATTGTTCGAGAACTAGACTAGGTGCTGAAAAACGCTCATGTACTGATGACAATTATCAAATGGACTGCTCTTGAACCGGTTTGGGTTAAGTTAAATATGACGGTACATTGTTTTGGGTGGTCGAAGAGGAGTTGGGATGGTTGCAAGAGCCCATTTGGGAAATTTCTTGGCAACTTTTGGTGTCCCTCTATGTTCGGGTATTGGATCTGATGTCGGTGGAGATGCTACCATGTCGGGATGCGTCGCTATTTGCTCGCAATAGGGATCTTCAGCATGTTCAGTTGGAGATTGATTGTCTAAAAGTTAAAAGACTATGAAAGTCAAGCTCAGAAAAATCAATAGACTACCATATTTTATGCCAGATGAAGGAGATCGTACACTCTTTCCATGGATTCAAACTTCTTTTTTGCTTAGTGTTAGGCAAATGAGGCAACTCATAACACAATTAAAGAAGCTTTAATGTTTGGAAATCTTGTAAAGAACTTGGATGTAATCCCTAGCTTTTTGCCCCGCACTTTACGGTTGGGCTTGCCTTCGCCAATTGAGTAAAGCTCCACAAGGCGAGTTTTCTTAAAAAAGGTTTACATCCATCTTGACTAGAGGGTTGCAATTCAGTGTTGGCCAGGCATGACTTTTGAGTCTTGTTTGAGTCGCTCCATGGCTTGGTACTTGGTTTGCCCACATGCTCATAGGTCCCAGGCTTGTACATTTCTCTTGGAGTGGTGGTTGCCGTGGCAGGGTCTGAGCGGTGACGGATGATGGCCGTTTATCTAGCAGAGCAATATTTGCTTATTTTCCCCATTTGTTGCTTGTACTCGAAATCAGAGGTTCCTTGCAAATATGCTTGTGTTAGATGGCTTGATGTTTGGCATAGGCGAGCGTGGATGCGTGGAACTCGGGCTGGATAACCTCATAGCTTGTTGTTTGGCCTAGGCGAGGGTGGATGCGTGGACCTCGGGCTGGATAACCTCATGACTTGTTGTTTGGCATAGGCAAGCGTGGATGTGTGGAACTCAGGTCGGATAAACTCATGGCTTGTTCGATGTAACCAAGTTGAAGTAGCTTTCTTTGAAAAAAAGGTGATGATGATGACCCTTGCGAGCAACCTTGTGCATGGGGGGGGAGGGGTAGCTAGGCTAAGTAAGAGGGTAATGCTTTTATTCTTAATTAACGGGTGGAGCCCTAGGTTTTGAATTTGCAAAATATAGACATTGTTTCAGTTCTAGGTGTTAGCGAGTAGCAAATTTCGTAATAAAGTATTGATGCAAATACTGACTCTAGTTAGTTATCTAATATGATAATGGCCGTGCAAAAATTATCGATTACAACTTAGAAATGGTGGGTTGATGTTATCGAACGGCCGCAACGACACGGATTAAAAGACGCGAAGCACAATGACGAGGCAACGCAACAAAGCGGTCGACCGCGCGAAGATGCTGTATTGACGTCGATCGATGGCATATTTTCCTAGTTTGAAACTATCAGGGAATGGATGCGAAAAAGCTAGTTAGGAAGTTGGCACACGTCATGGAAGCCTTTTACATCGCCGTTGACCCTGCACCGCCCGGTGGAAAATGACCGTTAATTCGACGCAAACTACTAGTGCGACTAAATAATGAATGATGGGATTAATGAGGTTTAAATCACATTGAAATGGCTGGCTACTCTCAAAAAGAAATGGTGTAATGAGATGGATAATGACGGGGGTTTATAGCAAGGAAGAGAAGGAAGATTTGGTTTGAGTCAAAAAGGAAAAAAAAGACAGAGAGGCGGACTCGTACGGCGGCGAAGAAAACCAGATTTGATTTGCGGCGGACGCGTCCGTCCGTCCCCCACCCTTTCCCCCCTTCCCTTCCCCCCGTCCGGCGGCGGGGGAGCCACAAAACTGAAACCGATCGATCGAACCGATTCACACGCCACCGCCGCCGCCGCCTCGACTGGGTCCAGGGCCGCCGCCGCCGCCATGGGGGACCTGGCCTCCACCTGCAAGGTCGGTCCTCATCCGATCCACACACACCCTCTCTCTCTCTCGCTCGCTTCTTTGCTTAGGATCCATTCTCCGGTTCCATCCAGGGGTCCCGTCTAGTAATCTAATCTAATCCTGAGTTGCTCTTCTACTTGTTGGTGATGGCAGGACAAGCTTGCCTACTTCAGGATCAAGGAGCTCAAGGACGTGCTCATCCACCTCTCCCTCCCCAAGCACGGCAAGAAGCAGGTACCGTACCCCTCATCTCATCTCATCTCATCTCC